TACCCTTTCCTCCGCCCGCCGGTGAGCGCGGTCCCCACGGGGGAAGGCTCCTCCGCTCGGTGCGGCCCCCGCGCTGGCCGGGAACAGCTCAGGGGCGGAGGTGGCGGCCGGGCCGAAGAGCTCGAGTCTGCGACCTGTGTCAGCAGGCAGGAAGGAACCTGGAAGTGCCGATGTCTGCTTCAGCTCGGTCCCTCTCAGCATGTTTCCCCTGTTACTGGAAAGCGTAAAGCTAATCAGCAAACCCCAAACTATTCTGTGAACAGTGGAGGAAGGGCAGCAGGTTCTCTCGGCTCTGAGGTGAGCTGTAAAGCAGGCCTATCATGCTAGAAACGACACAAGCAGATAAGGGTCCCCAAAGCAGCCTGACAGCAGCTGCCTGATAAGTTCCCCAGCAGGCAGCGCGGGCAGGCTGGATGCTGACCGATTAACACTTGCTCACTTTTCTCTGACTGTAGCTGTTACTGAGGGACCAATTTGTTTTGAGGTAGTGTTACCCCTTTTGTGTGTGTGGCACAGATCTGACTGGCACCGATTTGTTTGTTTCTTCCCTGTAGGTTTTTTGCTCTGACTTCTCTTCGCTTGCTGTTCCTGGTTGCATTAACCCTTATAATAGTAGTTTGTGTAGATCAGTGGAAGAACAAAATCTGGCCTGAAATTGGAGGTAAGTTGTACCATTTGAGCTGATACCAGCACATCAAGCACTGTTTTTGGCCGTAGAGGTTCATAGGCCTGACTGCCTGGAGTTAAATAGTTAAAATCCTGGAGTTTTTGTTTTCTGAATCGAGAAGCAGTCGAGAACACTGTAGGCATGTTCTTCCTGGAGTTGGAAAATCCTAACTATATAAACATAAGAAGAGCTTTTCATTCATGCAGCAATGGTATTTGTCTCATAATCTTGACACGTCTGGTGTACGTGAACTAGTGCAGGTTTTGAAGCAGTGATTCACCTTCCGAGCATTGAGTACACGAGCAAGAAATTGAAGCGTATGTGGAATACATCTGGATTTTTCCTCAGAATCTATAATAAACCAGCTTCATGTTTTAGGATGAAGATGAGTCCCAGCCTTGCTCTTGAGTAGAGATTTCTTTGAAAGGAGTGGCATCTTAACAGCTGCTAATGAAGTTACTCTAAAGCTTTCAGTAAACAAAGCAGTTCTGTCTGTCGTTTGTGATATTAATATACTCATGAATACTACCATTCTTAGCAGCTCAGGATTTCATTGGCTTTGCCTGGACAGGTTGGTTCTGAAGCAGTGTGTATGGTTTTGCATGCTCTCAGAGGTGGTTCCCTAACTAATGAGCAAGTACAACTCCCAGCTTTCTGCTTCAACCCGTGTTCTCTGTAGCTCTTGAGAAGACATTAAAGCTTTCCTTGGTTTCTAGCAGCAGCTTGGCTCAGGCTCTGTAGCTGAAGTGATGAGGAAGTGTCCGTCTAGCTCCCTTATAACCTTGATTTTGATTTTTTGGGTTAACTGGTACATCCCTGGGTCGCTTTTCAAATTCTAGGCTGGGTGAGAAAGTATCAAAAGACTTAAATTTCTGATGCCCCTCAGTGAGCAAGCTGGACTTCCTTTACCATCTGGGTGTGTGTAGAGCAAGGGACAGAGATGGAAGCGGCATTTTTTGCTAATACCTGCCACTGTAACCAGAGCAGCCTTCCAGACAATGTCCAAAAAATATTGAGGAGCAATGAGGAGACTCTTGCAGTCTTGTACTGTCACACGTACACATTCAAAATGTGTCATGGAGTGATGCATCTCAGGTTCTTAATTACAGTTAATGTCTCTTTCAGGTATTCCCCAGCTCATTAAAGCTTTACTTAAATCCCAAGAGCTAAGCAGTCTCATGGCAAATTGCTTGCAACTAATGTAGTGTCTGTTCTTAATATTTTAGTGGCAAGACCTGACGAATTAGACAATGAGAGGTAGGAAACTAATTGAATCCTCTGCTGTTTGGTACTTTGCTGTGATACTGTGTAATTATTACCTGCATGTGCTTGTAATGTTGGCTCCTTTGAATGAGGACGGAGGGGGAGAAGGGAGCTACTTAGTGGAGGGAGGATGGAGCCCTGGACTGTGCCAAGCCCTTGTGATGTTTTTGACTTGCCTAAGCCATTATATTATACTTAATCTTTGCCTCATGCTGACCTCCAGTAGCGCTTGCCTGAATGTTGTAAAACTTCCCCTGCCACTTCCCCCCTGCACCCTTAAGTTAGAGGTGCTGCCTTAAAAGCAATTCCTTTTGTGTGGGCTTCCAGTAGCAGGAAAACAACTTTTTTTTTCTTTGAAATTATGAAGTCTTCTGAGACTCCATAGGGAACGTGTAACAGGCTTGTCCCAAAAGTTGTTACTGCATAGTTATGATCTGACTGCAGCAATAATAATGGGTTGAGAAATGCTGGGGTGTTGTCTTACTAATAACACCTTCCTCTCTCTGGGCACACCTTTCTACCTGCCTGTGCTGCCGAGCTGCACTGGATGCTCAGCTCCTGATTAAATCATTTGAGTTGTTGCCAAATGACTTTTTTTTTTTTTTTTTTTTTGCAAGAGGTGCAACTACAAAAGGAATTGCTCTTCCTAACCTTCAGGTACTTGTGACTAGCAGTTAAGAAGCACTAATAGAACTTGCCAAAGACACTGTCTCCGAAGTAACTGTATCTATTAAGTAAGGTACAAGGCTGCTTGTAAACCTCGTGCTGAATTCTTGGGGTTTGCTGTTGACCAAATAAATGCAGAAAAAGTGAAGAGATTGGCTTGATTTGCTTCTGCACTTCCCTTTCCCTCCAGTAGCATGGAAACTAATGTAAGCCAAACGACTGAATGACTGAAATTATTGCTCCTTAGCTGCTATGGGAGAACTGGGACACTTGTAGAACAGCATGTAGAAGTGCTGCTTTTGGCAAGGTGGTGTATTGAAAGGCAGGCTGACCCTCGCCTCTAGAGCCCAGCAGCAGGGGGAGAAGAGAAGGTAGTATTGAGACAAGTGTTTATAACGAGTGACTTCTGCACTGATGTTGACGCAGCAATATCTGTTCCCGAATTCTTCCCTTCACTGCAGCTGGGGATACGTTCACCCTCGGCTGCTCGGAGTGCCAGAACTCTGTCACCATTTGGCTGAAGGATGGGTGGCTGGGACCAGCTTCTTAAGTAACCTCTTCATTTTCAAGAGGCAAAACCCTGGAAAGGTAAGAATGTACAGACCTCAGCAAATAAAATGTTTGGTGTGGAGCCTCTGCTGACCGCTAGTATCCTTTTGAGGTGGCATCCAGCGTGGGCTGAATGCGTTCAGACATGGGAGGTTACCACGGGAGGTCTCCCACAACAACATGGCTCTTAAGTGGTGGAGAGGAATAGAAAGCACAGGCAGAATAATTAGGTTGTGGAGGAGGGAAGGGAAAATGAGTGTCAGCATCTCGATTGCACTAGTGAAGTGAAAATGTAGCTGCTCCTTCTGGAGGTTTCTAGCTTTTTAAAGTGTCTCTCAAACACATCTCCCTCACTGGATTTTAACAGTTTGAGAAAGTGTGTCAAGCTTTTTTTTTTTTTTTTTCCTTTTTCTTCTTTTTTGAGGCTTATGCAAAGAGTAACATGTAACATGGTGGTACTGTCCTTGTCCTTTTCACCTCAAAGAGTTCTGTCTTCTTTAGCCTCTTCCTTGCTTTTAGTGTACCTGCTTTGGGAAGCTCCTCATGTTCTGGGGCAGAGGCCTTGGCATGCTGCCTGTCGCTCTGAAGCCAGATACCTCCTGTGTCTGTGCTAGTCCTAGAGCGGGGTAGTCGGATGCTAGGAAGGCTTCGCTGTCGTTAGAATTGTGACTTGACCTAGAATCTGCAGAGAACAAGACGGTCAAGAACTGAGTGAATCTACTCCTTAACCTTGGAAACTCACTGTCTCCGTGTCTGCAGTTTTGCCTTCTAGTGTGTGGAGTCTTTACTTTCCTGGCTGTCCTGGGCCGGTATATCCCTGGACTCTTGCTCTCATACTTGCTGTGTAAGTAGATCTCTGTGCCGGTACAGACTTACTAGTGAAAAAGGGCAGAGATGAGGGGGATCTGAATGTCTGAGGGATGGGACTCTTCTGCTCAAAAGGAAAGCTTGTGTGAATGGCTTTAAAATTTAAAATAATACATTCTGCCTGGAATGTGGTGGTTCTTGGCCAAGACTCTTAAGGTCTCTGGTCCAGAGAGAACGTGTTTGAGTGCTTAGTAGCTATAGATCTGAGCACTAATAGGTTGGCCTCTCAATTTTGTTAAATTGGCAGAGGTGATTGCACTAATTCTAACTGCCTCCTGCAGCATTGCCTTCAGTGCTCAGATCTTGCATACTGTGTGTGTTGTACTGCATCACAAAATGGGCAAGATGTTTGCCAAGTAGCATCCTGAACAAACTTCTAATCAGCGTTCCCACTTACCTCAGTGCTCTTCATCCTGCTGTGGCCCCTGGCTGTGTACCACAGACTGGGGCAGCGCATGTACATGAAGCTGGAGCCAGCTCTGCAGCGGCTGGATTTCAGCGTTCGAGGCTACATGATATCAAAGCAGCGGGAGAAGCAACGTAAGTTTCTGTACTGTTTCTGACCCGTAGTACCTGAAACAGCCCGTGAACAGAGTCCCTGGTCTTGGAGTGGGATAGGGCTGCATGTATGGCACGGCAGTCACTCCAGCGCCCTTGGCGAGTGCTTGCAACTGCTTTGGGAAGGAAGCAAGGCAGCTCTGCCTCCGCAGGCGTCTCCCAGTTAGCAGTTGGTGTAAGCTCTTCGTGGTGCTGAGCCGCTCCATTTCTCAGCTGCCAGAACTGTGTGTACCATATTGCAGTTGCACTGAAGAAGGAGGAAGGACTCAGTGCAAGGTAGCTGCTAAACATGCAAAAGATCTGCAGCAGCCCAAGTCAGAAATGATCACGTTGCTCTGCTGTGGAACAAAGCACGCTGTGTTATGTCCAGGCTTGCCAGTTTAGGGGTTTTCTGCTCGGCCTGAGGCTGGTCCTGTACAGACCCCTGTCCTAGCAGCAATAATAAGCTTTGATTCTGGTTTCTGGCAGTGCGTCGCCGATCCCTTAATCAGGAGGCTGTGGATGATGGGAGTGACAGCGAAGAGGAGCTTGCCGCGTTCTGTCCCAAGGTAACGAAGCGTCTCTGAAATAGAAGAGCTCAGCTGAATAGAACAAACTCGCTGCATTGTGTGGACACGCAGTGTGTGGTCCCGTATGCAGCATGTTGTAGCTGAGTTGTGGTGGAAAATCACATGAGGATATTCTCCTTTTAGAGAGGTTTTTCCTATTCTGTCTCACTCAAGTATGTCCAAGCGCTGCTTGCACCAGCTGTGGTCTCCTAGGCTGGGCAGTAAAATGTGAAAGAGCCTCAGATACCAGCTTCCCGGGGGGACTGGGTTTAATTGGCAGCCACTGGATCATGTATTTTGTCTCGAGGCACAGGAATAAGCTTTTCAGTATTATGTTTTCAATTTTATCTCCTATTTTCAAGCTGGATGACTCTGTGGTCGCCAAGGAACTAACCATCTCCGACTCGGAGCATTCGGATGCTGAGGTTTCCTACACTGAAAATGGGATGTTTAACCTTTCGAGGGGCCAGACTCCCCTGACAGAGGGCTCAGAAGGTGAGTGGAAAGGGCCAGTTTCTGGAAGGTGTGGAATGCTGAGCAGGCGCCCGTGTGATGGGTGGGAGGGAGGATGCATTCATTGCCTTCTGTCCTTGAGGTCTAGCTGTTTGATGTCTCTTGCTGTTAAGATGAGCTACAACTACCTGTTCTTTCAGAACTGAAATTCCTTCTTAATTCCTCTGGTGCTTTGGTAGAGCAATGACAGCTGCTCTTCAAAGGCAGATCCAGCTCTGCCAGTCTGTGGCTGTAGGGATACGGGTTGCAGTGCACAGTCTGGGAGGAGACGCTTTCCTCTGGCAGAAGGTGTCTGGTTCAGCATCTGAGTTCCTTGTGAGTGAAGTGGGAGGTCAGCAGGCAGCCCGAATAGCTATGTGAGGGGGAGATGAAAGAGCGTTTGGTCTGTGAGATGACCAGAGACGGTCTGTCTTGGGGAGGTAATGGCCCAGCTTTTGTGTGCTGTGCTGCCCTCGCCTGCAGGGTGTTTGGTGTGTGCTGTGTATTTAAAACACTTTCTCTTCTTCTAGACCTGGATGGTCACAGTGACCCAGAAGAGTCTTTTGCCAGGGATCTCCCCGACTTCCCTTCCATTAACCCAGAAGCAACTGGCATAGATGACGAAGATGACACCAGCATTGGGATCCCAAGTCTGGCCTACCGCCCACAAGTGACAGAAGATCTGCATCTCCCTTATGACCAGGAAGAATCCGGCGCACTGCCATCTGTACAGAATCTTACTAACAACATAGCCGGATTTGTCACCAGAGGAATGATACAGCTTGCGCTGTCAGGAGCCCCTCAGCCAGGCTCCTCACGCAGCGACAATCCCCAGAGAGGTGCAAAGACTTATCTTAGAACGGCCAGCTCGGACTTGGACACTGATGCGGAAGGGGATGACTTTGAACTGCTGGATCAGTCCGAGCTGAACCAGCTGGACCCTGCTGGCTCACGGGGCCAGTAAGCAATCCTGTCACTTCCCGCTGGTTTTCAATTGCACATCATGGAGGGGAATCCTGGAAGGAAAGGCCTTGCACAGTTATCTAGATCGTCTCCTGTGTGAGTATGAGTGACGTGGCAGCCAGTCCTGGCTGGGAACACCACTGTGACTTGTGACTCTGTAGCCTCGCTTGGATTTTAAAATAAACTACACTGGTAATTCATAGGGAAAAGACATTGATGTGATAGCTCCACAATCACCCACGTGTTGCCCTGCACTGTCTGCCAGGATGCTGCTTGCTCCAAACTGCCTCACCTAAGACAATAAATCTGGTGTCTGCAGCTCCAGAGACCGACTTAGCGTCGCCAAGGACAATCTTGAAGCCGACCTTCCGGGGCTGATGTGTAGCCAGGTGAAAAGGATTGGTTTCCCCTCAGACTTAGTGTCTGGGACTTAATGCTATTCTGTCTTTAAGACAACCATTCCCCACCCCTAAAATGTGCACAGAATCCAGGTCTTCTTTCCCAGCAATATCCAGCTCCGGGTAGAAACAAACCCCCTGCTCCTCTTGTGGACACGATGGTGTACAGCCACCATGTTTGTACTCGCAATGCCCACTCATCTCCGGTTCCAGCTTTCTAGTGATGCTATTTTGTAAGAGACGTAATGGCAATAAGACATCTGTGATGACTAGCGTCCTGCAAAGATCATCTACGTGTGGCAGCTGCTCTTGTGTTGCTTTCCTAAAATAACGGACTAACACTTTGCTAAAAATCCCCTGTGCTCCTGCAGCGCGTGTTCGGGGTGGACATGGCAGTGCTGCGCTTCCCCTGACGCTGCTTCCTGGGAGCGGCTGGGGCCGGGTTTTTGGAGGAGGGAAGAGGTGGCACTGTCCTGCCCAGCCTGGCAGGGTGGGGACCCGGCGGGGGACACCAGCGCAGGCCACCGGTGACCAGTGAGCTCGTGCCTGTTGCGGTCACCTACGCAAACCAGCAGCTGCCAGGAGAGAGTCGTTCTGTCAGCCCCCGGTCTGCGCCTTGCTGAGCTTTCCCACCGCGTTTTCTAAGCCATAGAACCCAGTTCCTGTCGCCTCCGCACAGCAAAGAACATTCCTCTGCAGGGAAAACCCTTCTGCTGCCTTTTGTCTGAATCCGTTTGCCAGGGGGTGCTGGCGCTGGCGCTGCTGGGAATGGGGGGGTCTTTACTGGGTTATGTTATAGGAGGATCGGCCTCACGCCGCCTGGCTGTCCCGGGGGATGGCACCGGGTTTGGGACCACC